AAAATTTTTGTCATTTTATGTGGCCGGAGGTTGCTGATGCCTGGTATAAGCTCTAAAGAGGCTTGAATAGAGTGTTCGGATATGGTCAAATTGCTTTCAGGTGGAGGAGCTGCGTAAGAAACGTGAATCGGATCGCTTCCTGTCGTTCTTCTCAAAAGTCGAACAACGCCCCGTGATCACCTACGCAGCCTCGGTGGATGCCGCGGGTGCGGAATGCGGAGCCGGTCCGGCGCTGCCGTTCGAGTTGAAAGAGGGCATGCGAGTGGCGCCGATACAACGACGTCCGGCCCTCTCACCGCACACCTACGATCATCTGCTGGATAACGACGAATCCACTGTGAAGGTGGTGGTTTACGATTGACTGATCATCGATTGTGATTGATTTCTGGTGATCGATCGGAAAAATCCGACAGTTTCGATCGGCGTTCCGACGGTCGGATTCTGACCGAGCAATTTGGAAAGTCGGTCGGAATCACGACTGTCGGAATGATCACAGCCCAATCGATCGATTCCGATCGATCGAAATTTCGCTCAGATCCCATCACTATGCAATTCTGTTGTTGACATTTCAATGAAGAGCATTTGTCTATCCATCTATCAGCAGTTTACCTGGATTAACCAGACTTAGGCTTAGGCAAGCTGGATTATATCGATACGCTGATATCACATCATCATGGTCATGATTTATATTTATGGTTTTGTGTTTTCAGTCGCGAAATTCACTCTATCTATCGAATGTGCCTCGACGACGAACCACATCCCCGAAGAGGTTTGCGATTGCCTATCTTTTTGGGGCTTAATTTTTCGTTGATCATGGCAAAATCATCAAGAAGTTATCAAATGAGCGTTGAAATATGGCATCGCAATCGAATTTCGGCAAATAGAACAAATATTTTAATTGATCATCGCTGATTGATCATCTTTGGTAATGGGGTAATGATGCGGTGAGGTGAAAATTCGATCGGAATGCTGGAAATATCGAAAAATTTGATCTCGTTGTTGTGATTCGAAGCAACTTCAGTTTCAGAAATGAGATGCGTGCAAAACTATTTCAATTCCACGATAACTACCGACCGCCCTACTATGGAACATGGCGAAAACGAAGTAAAACTATCACGGGAAGACGACCGTTCGGCAGGGATACGAAGGTTTAACATTTGAGATGCACTTTTTTTGGTTTATTTCTGGATTTTTTTGGTCATAATTGTTTTTAGTGGTTATTTTAATGCAGTATGTTGGTGGTGAATTGTTTTGATTGGATTGCAGATACTTGACTACGATGTGGATTCGGATGAGGAGTGGGAAGACGAGCCTGAGGGTGAGGAGATCGGTGACGAAAATAACCAGAGTGATGAGAGTGAGGCGAGTGATAAGTATCGTTGTTGTTGAAGCAGTTTGAGTTGATTGGCTTGGCTTGGCTGGGCATATTTTGGAATTTTTTGATCACTCGGCATTAAACGTGAACGTAGCCAAGTGTCACCAATTCAGTGATTAAGCATGATTTTAATCAGTTAATATTTCGCTGATCCACCATCAAAATATTTTGGTGGATGAGCAGGGAGGATTTGTGAGGATATTCGATTATTGATTGATTTGATGATCACTTCGAATATTGATTGATTTGGCGATCACTTCGATTATTGATTGATTTGGCGATCACTTCGGCTATTGATTGATTTGATGATCACTTCCGTTCAGGATTCGGATGACGAGAACGATGGATTTTTCGTCGAGCATGGCTATTTGTCGGATGGCGAGGGGAGCGGGAATGAGGCAGAGATGGACGATTCGGGGTCGGTGGTGCATGAGGATGAGGCCGAGAGGAAACGCCGTCTGCACGCTGTGGTCTGTCTTTTTACCGATGCATTTTATTGGATTTACGATGATATATATTAAAAGAAGTGGTACCATGTTCGGTTTAGTGTGCAACTTTGTAGCGGGTCAATCTGCCAAAGACATTTTGCCTAACGACACTTCGCCTAAAGACTATAGCCTTAGGTTTACGCTTAGGTTTAGGTTTAGGCTTAGGCTTAGGCTTAGGTTTAGGCTTAGACTTTCCCCAGGATCTTGGGAA